CTTTACAAATCCAAGCTCAATCAGGCAAAATACAAAAAAATTAATTACAACACGACCGACACCAGCTCAAGACAACAGTCGTTGCACACCAGTTAAAGTCAAGCAATTGTTCAGCCATTCTCGCTGCCATTGACAAGTCTGCACTCAACAACAAAACAAAAACAAATTGGCCACCAAAGACAAAGACAAATCCTTAACCTAATTTCACCTAAACCTGTCATTATACTACCAAACACAAGGAAATTAAGATGCAAGAGGACAAGCAGGATTCGGTGGAAAAATATTAAAAAGTGGGGAAGATACCGAAACAAAGGAAGGTAGAACGAATCGATCAAGGGGCTCTCGTTCATGAAAAAAATAGAAAACATGGGGATTTTGATTATCAAGAACGAGGGAGCATTCGAACGAAAAGTAAGGAGACATGTTTCAGCGAATCAAGCAAGAGAGTGTAAGATCAACGACCCATACCCATCAACAACAAACATCGAACAAAGAAAACAAAAAAGAAGGGAAACTTTTAAAATAATGTAATCAAGTGATATTCCTAGATACAGAAGAAATTAATAGAGAATGCTATGGCAATTTTGTGAGGTATATTTTCTATTTTGTTTTTGATTTCCATGTATGTGATGGGTGTGTTCTTATTTCTAAGTAAACAGAAAGTAGAGAAGGATTATAGAGTTACCTTAGTTGTGAACGACGGTAGACTTGGTGGTTATATCCTAGTCGGTCGAGGTTTAATTGGTGGAGATAGGAACGGGTTAGTGTTATGAAAACATAGAGATTAAAATGACGAACAAAAAAATAAATTAGAAGGAGAAGGTTTTGGGTCCTTACTGGAGTTGTTGAGCACGGTGGTCGACGTAAAGAGAGTTTCGCAACTCTCTGTTTGAAAACGAAAGGAAAATGAGAGTGGTGCCGTGTGTGTGTGCGCGTGAGAATGAGAGATAGGAAGATTTGGAGAAGAAGGGTGAAGCGTGCGGCTGTGTGGGTGTTGTGTGCGTGAGTTTAGTTTAGGTTTAGACAAATGTAAGTTTCATATTAGATATTTAAGGTAAATTCAGTTTTAAGTCCCCCAAATTTAAGCCTTTTTTACACTTTAGTCACCTTTAGGACCGTTTTCAAATTTAGCCATTTTTGTTGGTCTTGATTTCGGTATTTTTCCTTGTTTAATTTTAGTTGTAATTTTGTTGGGTTATTTACGGTTAAATCCCTTATTTTTATGCGTGTTCTTATTTAAGTCCCTGGTTTATTTTTTGATTTGTATGTTTAAATTTATGTTTATTTAAATTTAGTCATTATCTTAATATGTATATATATACTTTTTAAAATATATAGTTTAGTTTGTCATGTTTTTATTTTTATATTTAAGTCACATTTGTACATTATATGTTAATAGGTATACTTTATAATTTATATGTATGTAATCTTTGTATTAGAATGTCATATTGTATGATATTTTTAATTATGGTACTTGTTTAATTAATTTTGGCATGACATCTTTTTATACAATTTGTATGTTAGCCTCACGTGCATAACTCGATTTAATGATATAATTGGATTAAGGGTAATACCCATTTAATTTAAAATTGTATTAAGTGGGTTGTCTTAACTGATTAGAGATCTGCCTTTGACGATTTTAAATTAAAAGTGTATCTCATTAGTAACACCTAAAAATTGATTTATCACTTTAAAATTTGAGAACGAAAGAAAAGGAAATATTCGGTTATTTAAATTTTTCGAGAAAAGGTAGTTAGAACTTATCTAAGATTTTGTCTTGATATTTTTTAAATAATTAAATATTCTTTATCTTTTTTAAAGGCTTGGTAATTTTGGTTAAATCTATTTCGGTGTTTTTGAATATTATAAATTCACATGTTTGTTGTTTTGGGATCATAAATCAAATAAAAGACGAGTTTGTAAATTTTATTGCAAAGACTTTAATTAATCAACTAGGTACCGATTTAGGGCGTTGTAGTGGTGCTAATCCTTCCCCACACCTAACCGACTCCCGAACTCAAATTTTGGTAACGCAAGCCCCAAGTTTGTCTTTTTAATTAAAATTAATATTTTATTAAAATGGAAAATATATTTTTGGGTGTCCAATCACACCCTAATCAAGGATTGGTGGTGACTTCTCGAACCGTACATTTTATTATAAAAAGGAATCCCAAATTTTTCAAAACGATAAATGTTTTTTAAATCACATTACTTTTTAATTAAAAATTAACCAATTAAGAGGTAAATTAAAAATGGTGTGGTTTTCAAAATCTCGCGTTATGAGAAAAAGACCATTTCGACAGATATATAATAGTGTTGTGTCCATTTTATAACAAATTCTAATGTTTAATGCATATTATATGATTTTTGAAAATTTATTATCTAAAAAGTAATTTTGATATAATTTAATGTCCATTTATAATTTTATTTTATAAAATTAGTAAAATATATCAATATTTGGCGTCTATTTTTACTTTTTTTTCGTGAAAAATACACTTTTCAAAAACGAGTATTTGGAAAGAGACATGCCTTGATTAAAAAATATTATTTTTAATAAAACATGTTGTTTGTGCACCATTGTAATTAAAATATAATTTTAGGTATTATTCCATAATATTGTCTAACTCTAACTTTGTTGGTCAAATAGCGAAAATGAATTGAAAAATGCATGTATTTGATATTTTGGGATGTAGGCCGTCTGTTATGTGTGAAACTAATAGGGAGGGAATGAAGAATTCTATAAAATTTAATAAATAATTAAAATTTGTCATTTTTTCATGATAAGTTTATATAATTTTTTCGGTTCATATAAAAGGTTTTATTTTTTTAATACATTTGAATTTCTCATGACGTGTTATACGTACATTGTAACAATGATTTAGATCCCTATGTAACTTTTAAACATTTATATTTTAAAAAAAATATTCGTGGATTATTTTCAAATTTTATTGGCCTAAAACTACCCTTTAAAATATACAAATTAAGTATCTAAACTATCAAATTTAGTCTATTTTAGTATTTAAATTTTTATTTTTTTAAATCATACATAATATATAGCTTTTGTTTCATTTTAGTAACTTGCCGTTAAAAACTTAATGCGTTTAGTACATAAATGATCAAACTTGGATCAATTCTTTCTTTTCTTCCCATGTGGAGTTTCTGGCTCCTGGTATCTATGGTCACTATCTTGCTCTTCTTTGGACTCACAAAGAGATGCAAGCTAATAGACCTAAACCCTTTAAGTTTTTCAACTTTTGGGCTCTTCACCCAAATTTCCTTGCTCTGGTTGAACAATCTTGGCTTTCTCCTGTCACGAGCAGTCCAATGCATATTCTCTTCTCCAATCTTAAGTGTCTCAAACCTCATCTCAAAGCTCTAAATAATTCTTTCTTCAGTGAACTATCTTCTCGGGTTGTTTCTAAAAGAGTTGAACTGGAACAACAACAGCTTAAAACTCTTAAAGGAGAAACTTGTTATGATTTAGAAATCCCTTTACATAAGGATCTTATTTATTTGGAAGAAGCAGAAGCTATGTTCTTGAAACAAAAAGCCAAAATTCAGTGGCTCAAAGAAGGGGATAAATGTTCTAAATTTTTTCACTCAGCAGTCGCCCTAAAACACAAAAGAGACACAATTAGGCTATTGATTGATGACCAAGGGAACATATTAGAATCTTTCGATGCTATGTCATATGAGATTATTAACTTCTTCTATAATCTGCTAGGTTCTTCTGACCCAATGGTCAAAGGTATTGATCCAATTTTGCTAAGTGATATGCTCCATAGTACTATCTCTACTGATCTTGCTGCAGAGCTTACCAAAGAAATTACCATGAATGAAATTAAAGATGGATTTTTCTCTCAAGGTAACAATAAAGCCCCTGGTCTTGATGGCTTCACCCCTCTTTTTTTTAAACATTCTTGGACTATTATTGGTGAAGATACCTCTGCTGCCATTAAACAATTTTTCCAGGAATCATTTTTACTCCCTGCTTTCAATGCTACTACAATAGCTTTGATTCCCAAGATTCCTAATCCAAGTAAGGTCAAAGATTTTAGACCAATCTCTTGTTGTACTGTTGTATATAAAGCAATTTCCAAAATTCTGGTCAATAGACTCTCCAAGGTAATTCCAAATCTCATCACTCTCAACCAAACAACTTTTGTTAAAGGGCTGTCCATTGTTGATAACATGCTTCTAGCCCACGAATTAGTGAGAGGTACAATAGAAAACATTTATCTCCTCGTTCGACTATGAAAATTGACCTCCATAAAGCCTTTGATTCTGTCAATTGGGGATTTATTTCTACTGTTTTAAAGGATATTGGTCTTCCTCCTACTTTTATCTCTTGGATTGAAACATGCTTCAAGACTACTAGCTTTTCAGTTTCTTTAAATGGAAGTTTGGTTGGGTATTTTAGAGGAGCTAGGGGTGTAAGGCAAGGGGATCCTCTTTCCCATACTTATTTCTCCTATCAATGAATGTTCTATCAAAACTCTTGAACCTGGCAGCTTCAAAAGGACTGTTTAGTTATCATCCAAAATGTAAGCACATTGGCCTTACCCATCTCTCATTTGTTGATGATTTACTAATCTTCTTTAAGGGCACTAAGGACTCTATTATTAGGGTTAAATCTGTTCTTGATACTTTTTTATGAAATTTCTGGTCTGAAATTAAATGATCAATTTTGGTCAATTTTAGTACCTTTAACTTTCAATTTTTTTTAAAACTTAATGTTAAATTTTAAATTTGATATTAAAATAAAATAAAAACTAAATTTTAAATATAATTTTAAAATATATAAAAATTTAAATATTAAATAAATAATTTAGGTACTAAACGTATAATTCACCCTAAAATGAAATACTTTAATAAGTTTGTTACGGAAGAACTTGTAAAACCCAATCCAAGGATTTAATCAGTAGATTAGGTTTATTTATTTATTTATAGAATCAGTAGATTTATTAATTGAAGATTTGTTCATATGATATTGTGAAGCAAAATATTCTCTATGAAACTGTTAAATATGAAACTGATCTTTAGCTGAAAATCCCTGTAAAAAACATCTCAAGCCCGGCCAGACAATGAATCTATCATCGTGGTTTCGCCGCAGTGTTTCAGAGAACAGTAAAAACTGCAAAAACCCAGATCCACAGCAACCCACCGAACACGAAGAAACGGATGAATTTATGGGAGTTAGCCAACAATTAATCGATTATGTCAAGTCTTTCACTTTAGATACCTTCAAGAACTTCCCTATCCAAGGAAACCCCTCTCTATCTCTGTCGCTTTTCGAAATTCCTTAAGAAAATTTGGGTTGATTGAAGCTTTTTTTGGTGTTCAGATAATGGTTCCATTGAAACCCAAACTTCTTCTAATGTCCGTAATGATCTTTCTGATTGGCAACAGCGGCATGCTGTCTTAGTACTTTCAAAAGTGAAGGTTTGGATTTTTTTTTCTTTTAACCACCATTTTTTTTCTTTTAACCACCATTTTTCTTAGATTCAAGCTATGCCCTCGCCATTTAAAGGTTCTTCTTCTTTTTATTATCTAGGAACTCTCACAGCTTAGATTCAAGCTATGCCGTCGCCATTTAAAGGTTCTTCTTTTTATTTTCTAGGAACTCTCACGGCTTAGATTCAAGCTATGCCCTCGCCATTTGAAGGAGGAACAATTTTGGAGGATATATTTCATGCTTGTCAAAAGCCATGTTTCTGAGTAAGTTTTACAACTTTTGTTACTTTTTGATTCTTAATAATTATTAATTAAGAACAAGGAATCTATGCATATATTGTTAATCTGTGGATTTGAATATGTTCTCAACAAGGATTGTCCCCAAGAAAAAGTAATGCATTTTTTGTTCTTATATGATAGTCATATCGGATTTATTTACATGTCCATGAGGAACATGACCCTTTGATTGAAAGTTGAAACATTTGCCTATACATTGTCTGTACTGACCTTGTGTGAAAATTACATCTTGAAGGAAACCCTCGAACTCTGTTTCGTAATACATGTTTATTGCATACAAGTATATTCATGTTTTCTTCTTTTCATGGCAAAGCATAACATGCTGAAAATTGAATCACAACCAAGTTAGTTTTTGGTTTGCTATATGAGGAAAAATATTGAGGTAACCGGAAAAAAGTTAGTAATAGCTGTTTAAAGATCTATGGCCTCTTAAGGATGCTAGAGTTGATATCTAGAATGTAACACCATGATGTGGCTTTTGTTATGGCTTCAAGATGGCCTAAGGGGATACATGATTTTGTTTGCTAGGGTTGCGCTTGCACCCATAAGTTGCCATAGTTATTCTCACTTGAGTACTATTTGAAGGAGCATTCTTGGCAAACAGTTCATGCCTCTGATAAATTATATAAAATGAGGGGAAGTTTAATTGCCTGCTCTAGAGTTTGAATAGTTTTTAGTGTGTTTTTTACTTGGTTACTGATTACTTTTCCATCTTTGATCTTGTTTATTTTAAATAAAAATGATAAATCATGATTATCCTCCTGTTAACCAAAGTGTATTCTTTGTCATACATTAGTTATCATGGTTTCCATATGAGATGGACAATTTTGTCCCATGCCATTGAGAGAAATAAATACAAAAAACAAATGTCTTCGAGTCAACTAATTTTAAATATTTTAAAGAGAGACTGCAATAGTGAGACAATCTGTGCCCAGTTGTGTTATTCATCGGATTAAGAACTTATTATGTCTGATTAATCTGAAACTTTATCATCTGCAAACCTGAACAAGTTAATATATTCTGTTAAAAATTGAAGAAATGAAAAAGATGGATAATTCCTTTTATCTGCATGTCTTTTGGATGGAAGAGAAACGACACTGATTCAAACAATGAATGGGACACTTTTCTTTTTTTAGGATCATATCCATTTACAGCCATGTTATTTGGCCCTTTCTGACTTATCACCTTTGTACTTTTAGTTTTCCCAAGTAGTTAATAGCTCCGTGTGGTAAAGTTTCGTTCCCGAATGAGGTTGCTCTCTCTGTTGCCTACTGGTTCATTATGTAAAGATTATTAGTGTTTCATATTAATCAAAGTTATCCACTAATTCATGCGAAACCAAATGAATCCAAGTTGAAATGCTCATCTTTGTGTTTATCAGATATGAGCTGCATGCTATACAACGGGCTAAACAGAAGAGCCATGCTATGACAAATGAGAAAACATCAGATACCGGTGCCTATGAAGTTGAAATGGCAGAAAGAAATCATGCAGGTAAAGAGCAGGTAAAATCTATTTAGCAACGGCACTGCAAAGTATGCTCATTTCGAGTGGTAAATTGATCATCTTCTACTGTCATCTTGAGACGTGAACTCGCATTTGACTGCTACTGAAGTAAATTTAATGCATATCAGGAAGTGTACAACCACTAAATTCACATGTTGAAGAAGTCCTATGATTCTCTATAGGCTGCATCTTAAGCAATGCATTTGAATTGTAAATCAAAATAGTTGGAAGCATTTGTTCCTTGTTGGTACTCTATTAACTCATCATCATGTGGATATTTTCATTATTGCTTTTGCCTTTCTAGTTCCTAATCGACAACCGTCTTAATTTATTTACAAGAGATGAAAAAAGTCTATACATAGATAGATACAAGAAAATGCATTATATTTATTGTTTGAAAGCTATATATTATACAGAATATTGGGTTGAAAGTCACCAATGTATTTAAAAATTCCAAAATAAAGTTGGCACTAATGCTTAAAAACCGGATTAAAAGTCAAATTGATCATATCTTTTGATCATAGGTTCAAGAAGTTCAACTGATTGGTTCAACTAAAAAAACAATAATTATTAGTTAAAAAAACGAATTGTATCATTCGAAAAGCCAAGCGTAGGAGAAATCACATACCAATTTCCACGGGCAGCTTCAAGTTGAAATGCATGAGAAGGCAAAGATATGTATGATATAATATACATAAGAAAAACAAGAAAAAAAATCAACAAGGTTTTCGTTGTAAAGATGGAATTTGAATGTTGCTTAACGAAAAACCAAGATCTACAAGTAATTCACCACTTCCTATCACTAGAAACTACAACGGATATCAATCAACCAATAGAGCACCAATATTTCCATCTACATCTTCATCCTCATCTTCGTCGTCTTCGTCTTCCATGCTATCAATCTCAAAATACAATGCGGGTACATTATTGTGAATATTTTCATGAATTGTGCCCGATACTAGTCCTTTTCCAGATTATCTGAAGATTCATTGACGAGGACAATAGAAGTAAAACCATTCTCTAGTTGTTCAGTCAACAGCCTCAACCTTTGGGTAATGTCGCGCTTCATAAGCTCAAATTCATGATCTGGAGTGTGTTTCTGGTTGAACCTGCCTGGAAGGTTAGGTCTAGTTTTATAGCAATCTCCACAAAGATCAAATCCCATTTTCTCTGTACAATCCTTGCATCTGTATCTATCCCCAACTATTGGAGACATCTGCCAGAACAAGCAATGACTATTATACCGTACAAAGAAGTATCACTTAGTTTAGCAATTCAAAGCAATTTAATCCTTCATTGTTATGCATTACGGTAGGTCAAAATGTTGCTTGGAAAGCTCTTAAAAAAATCCAACAAACCCTGAATCCAGAAGCAACTGAGAGCAACTTATCCATTATAGGTGTCCCTCAATGTCATCAATGTTTGCAGAATGTTATGAAAGAAAATAAAGGATGACTGTTTTAAAAACTTTGTAGAATGTGAAATGTTATTTATGATGATGAATTTCTAAAGAGGCTGAATTGGTGCGACTCCTGACCATACATATACACAAGCACACGCACACGCACATGCACACGCACATGTTCATGCACACGCACATACACGTGTTCATGCACATGCACACAAATAAGAGAGTGAGCAAAGTTTTACCCCACAAGCATCACAACCAACTCCTATATGAGTATGGGGACGAAGATCCATGCCTGAGGGCAACTGGACAGGTGAGAGATCTCTTTTACCGGCTTCCATGGAACCTGAAAAATTCAAACATAATAAATAGTCTAAAATTATGGAGGACTCAAAGTTAATACAGCACTATTATAGTACTATCAGTCAATCAGACTCATTTTAAGATCAATTTTACTGATAAAGAATTCAGTATACATTTGATATTGAATTAGTAATCATATGCTTCTATTTTAAGCTTAAAAGTTTTGGCACTAAACAAATCAGCAGAAAAAAGGATGGAACCAAAAATATATCAGCTAAACGGAGTGTTAATTTGATAGACCTAGAACAAGATGAGATCAGTAGAGCACTGAGACGTACAAGTGGATAGTCTCCCATGATTGGAAGAAGCTTGTTTGAGCTGAATAGCATCTTTTCTCAGTGCATACCCGTTGGGGAATTTAGCCTCTAAAAAGTGATCGAGTGTCAAGCAGACTTTTGGAAGACCCCTTGGATGCAAACATTGACAAACTTGAAACCTAAGCATCTCATCAGCAGGGATACTGATGCAGGTTTGACAATAAACTGTCAAAAGAAAAAATATATGTCACAAATAAAAGGAAACTGATGCTCAGTGATGATAATGTAATCAAGAAGAAATTTTACAGGCATACCATGACCACAGATAAGAACAATAGGACGAAAAAGCAATTGCTTGCAAGCAGTACATAGCACATCCGCAACTGAAATCTGGTCCTTTTCCTCCACAGAAACACAAGACTCTATATGCCCAACTGGTTTATTTAGTTCCTCTTTGCTGGTAGAAGAAGAGTCTGAAAAATTAGAAGGCTTCGAAGAGCTTCTGAGGTGATTAATTTCTCCATCAGCCTCCGATCCACATGCATGATCACTGAATTCCGGCGAAAAGCAGTCTCTTTTCTTTTCCTCCTCTGTAGCAAACAAAAGCAACAAGATGTCCAAAAATATAGGCATGGTACTGCACTAGCTACAGTGAGAATTTCTCAAACTATCTACAACAATTCATCCCTTAAATCTAGAGATAATCCACCAAAGAAAAGTGTGGTCGTTTCAATGCAAAACACAAATTAGTCATATAGAACCCTCGAATATGAAATCAAATGCTTTTCTTGAAAATTACACCGAGAAGCAATACTTAAGTTGCTAATACTTATTTTTATAAAGCACAGCCATGAAAACATATTGGGTAGAACATGAAATAGAACAAAAAAGGAAAGAGAAAATCGCCTCAGTGACCAAAAAAAAGTTATAATATACGATTTTAACCAATTTTTTTTGGATTTGCCAAAATGACCAACAAAATCGCAACGCGAAATAAAAATCGCAACGCGATCCCCATAATCGCAAATCAGTTTCCAAAATCGCAACGCGATTCTTGAAAATCGCAATGCGATAGTCAAATTCGCATTGCGATTTTCCAAAATCGCAACGCGAATATGAAAATCGCAACGCGAACACATAAATCGCAATGCGTATCCGTAAATCGCAACGTGTATCCGTAAATCGCAACGCGTATGGGTAAATCGCAATGCGTATCCGTATATCGCAACGCGTATCGGTAAATCACAACGATAATACATAAAATCGCAACGCGTATCCGTAAATCGCAACGCGATATTTAAAGCGCCATTATAATCGCTACGCGTATTTTATTTTCAAATTACAAAAACGAATATTAAGACAAAATCCCGTAATCGCAACTCATAACCTAAAACCTAAAATCACAACTCAGTCTCATCTCCATCTCTCACTCTCTACGGCGAAGAAATCCGTCCCCATCTCCGAAGATTTCCGTCCCCATCTCCGGCGAAATCCCTCACAACCATTCACGGTCAGAAATCCCTCACAATATTCAGAAATGGAAAATCAACCTCCGAGGGTTAGTTTTTTTAATTATTTTTATTTTGAAATGTTTGCATTATTGTAGGTTTTTCATATTGAAACTGATGATAAGTTTACTGGTCATCTCAATAATAGATTAACCATTTCACTTAGAATTCATTTCGCGTTACGATTCTCTCGTTGCGATTTTCATTTCGCGTTGCTATTCTCTCGTTGCGATTTTCAAGTTAGTATTTGTCTTTGTCTTTGTTCTGTCTTTTGGTTGAAGTAATGCAATCCATTCAAGTTTCAATTTGCAGAAGAGTCGCAACGAGATAAATGAAAATCGCAACGAGAGAATGACTGTCGCAACGCGAAATGACAATCGCAACGCGAAATGAAAATCGCAACGCGAAACCAAAATCGCATTGCGATTTTTATTTCGCGTTGCGATTTTCATTTCGCGTTGCGATTCTCTCGTTGCGATTGTCATTTCGCGTTGCGACAGTCATTCTCTCGTTGCGATTTTCATTTCAACCAAAAGACAAAACAGTGTTGCAAATTTTAGTTTCAAGAATAAACTACTACTTTTTATGTTTATTGTTTTTGGTATATCTTCACAGTGTAGTTTTTGGTATATCTAACTTGGTATGTTTATTGTTTTTGTAGAAATTTTTTTCGGCTCAATTGACCTTGAGAAATAAAGTCAGCCTGGCCACTACAATTGCTTCGAAGCTTTCACCTGCTCAAAGACAATTGTTTGAGGAAACCTGCTTCGGGCCATGGCTGAGAGTACAGCATCCGGGTGGAGATGCTAATTTGACCCATTTGTGGCTTCAGACCATGACATCAAATCTACCCGACAGTATACAACGTGGTGAGGAAGAGATATGGTTTCATTTTCCACCAGCGTATACTTGCTTTGGGCGGAAGGAGTTCTGCTTAATCACTGGTCTACGATTCGGACACGATGATGTAGGCCGGTACACTCGTCATATCGCCCGCCCATCATGGTTATCCCGGGTTTTTCCGGATGAGTCAATGGAGAAGCCGAACCTACATGTCGACGACCTGAAGAAATTGTTTAATAAGAAAGCTGGTTTCACTCGGATGGATGACGTCGATGTTGTCCGAGTATGCCCTCTACTACTTGTGTATGCCGGCTTTTTAGGCAGAGAGGCCAGACAACCTATTCATCGGGAGCTAATAATATTGGTAGAGGACCTGAATGCATGGAATCTGTTTCCGTGGGGTTCGTATATATGGAAAGCTACCTGGACTAAGTTGTCGTCTGCCTTTGATGACCGCAAAAGTTTACGGGGCGATGGGTCCAAATACACTTTGTCAGGCTTTGTTTGGGCCTTTAAGGTAAGAATTTCTATATAATGTTTCTAAAATTATAATTAATTATTTAACAATTACTAATTTTGTTATTATATTGTTTGTAGATTTGGATATTCGAGGCTTTCCCCAGCATGCGTACATATGCAATAAAAACGTCAAATGATATTCCCAGGGCTATTTCCTGGAAGAGGAAAACTCTGTTGGATTGGGAAGACTTAATACCATATGCGACAATAAATAATGTAAGTTAACACAAATACTTTCATATAATATATAAACTAGTTATTAATAGTAGACGTTTAACTTTGTTTGAGTTTTTATATTTTAGGAGGCCAACATTCCATTACAAAGACTGACACCCACGGAGGAAGAGCTTGCCACTGATTGGTGGCAAGCTAGTCAGAGTTTTTTTGATGGCACGGATGATGAGCAGCATCCACTTCCTCCAATTCGAGAGCCATCACCTCACCTAGAGCCATCACCTGATAGACCCGACTATACACCTCTAGAACGAGAGCCATCACCTATCCCGTCACATCATCGAGCCTCTTCTCCACCATCACCTCATGATAGGCGACCGGCAAAGATGCCACGACTCCTATCTCCCTGTTCTCCACCTCCACCTCAACGGGATGAGTCAAGGGAGTTACGTGATGAGGTCAATGCCTTGCGTGAGGAGATCGGTACTCTACGCGATAACGATGGTGCATGGCGTGTGGAGGTGTCAACTTTACGTGGTGAGGTTGCCGCTCTACGTGAGATGATAGTATCGTTGCAGAATGAGGTTCATACTCTACGCAACGAGGTAAGTTTAAGATTTTCCATATTTAACTTAATGATAAATTTACTCGTAATTTCACTTAGATTAGCCATTTCACTTAGATTGCTTAGTAAATTTATTCGGTTGCTGCCAATTCTGCTAAACTGTGTATTATTTAACACTGTGAAATAGTATTTGTCTTTGTTTTGTCTTTTGGTTGAAAGTAAATTTGTTCGGTTGCTGCCAATTCTGCTAAACTGTGTATTCTTTAACACTGTGAAATAGTATTTGTCTTTGTTTTGTCTTTTGGTTGAAAGTAAATTTGTTCGGTTGCTGCCAATTCTGCTAAACTGTGTATTCTTTAACACTGTGAAATAGTATTTGTCTTTGTTTTGTCTTTTGGTTGAAAGTAAATTTGTTCGGTTGCTGCCAATTCTGCTAAACTTTGTATTCTTTAACACTGTGAAATAGTATTTGTCTTTGTTTTGTCTTTTGGTTGAAGTAATGCAATCCATTCAAGTTTCAATTTGCAGAAGAAGAAATAGTTTACTTTCGCAACACGAAAGTTAAAATCGCAACGCGAAACCAAAATCGCAACGCGAAATGAAAATCGCAACGACAGAATCGCAACGCGAAACCAAAATCGCAACGACAAGATCGCAACGCGAAACCAAAATCGCATTGCGATTTTCATTTCGCGTTGCGATTCTTTCGTTGCGATTTTCATTTCGCATTGCGATTCTGTCGTTGCGATTTTCATTTCGCGTTGCGATTTTGGTTTCGCGTTGCGATTTTAAGTTTCGTGTTGCGAAAGTAAACTATTTCTTCTTCTGCAAATTGAAACTTGAATGGATTGCATTACTTCAACCAATAGACAAAACAAAGACAAATACTAACTTCAGGGTATTAGTTTGAAACATATTTTTCTTTGTTATCTGATGCATTTGTGAACTATGATAGAATAATGACTTGGGTGAATACAATGCAAGTTTGAAACATATTTGTCTTTGTTTTCACTGTTTAAATATCATGTCTGTTTATTTACTGATTTTTGTATTTAATTATTTAGCGGCCCGATAGAGTGGATGCTTTACGTCGGGTTATGCTTGCACGACGGAGTTCACGCATCAGACAGCGTGCACGTGCTATTAAGTCTCCGTACACCCCAATAGTGCAAAGACACCGCAAGAAGAAGCCCGACTCGCCTGTCATCCCTCAAGAGTCCACTCCTATCGTTGAAGAGGCCCCCCCTATCATTCCTCGAGAGTCCCCTCCCACCGTTCAAGAGGCCACTGTCATCATTGAAGAGGTCCCTCCCACCATTCAAGAGCCCGATTCACATGGCGTCATATGTAGGCTTCTTGAGAAACCCTCTGACGTGCCGGACATGATGGATTCAAGTTGGCTCTCGTATGAGTTACCGGCCAGTACCATACCGGTATCTGAAGAGGAGAGGGAACAACTACCGGACACAATTCTGGATAACACCCTTTGGGCTAAGACCGCTGTTGATTTTTATCTACATGAGCAGAGCCAGGGGTGTTTCACTGACATATGCAAGCTCACCGATGATATCTATTTGTTGCTTGATCGGTCTTGGTGGGGCGTATTATTAGGGGTCGAAGACAATGGCTATTTCGATGGGGGGTAAGTCTTATATTTTTCTTATATTTCAATTTGATTAATTTTTTTTTTAAATTTATGTAAGTCACTAATATATGTCTTTTTTGTAAAACAGCATATCGATGCGTGGGTGACACGTCTTCTAATAATAAGAAAACTTAAGAAAAATAAAAATATACGATATACAATTATGCCGACGTCTTTTCACGCCGTTCACTTGAAGAATGCACGAGATGAATCATTTGATTTGGGCAATGGACAAGCTAAACTTTATCCTGCATGGTGGGAGGTCGATAAGGTTAGTATTTATTTTAGATTGAGTTTAAAGGTTTTATGAAATAAGTGCGCAAATGAATGAATTATTACTTATGATTGCAGGTGTTTATCCCTGTTTTGGAACGTAAACATTGGATTCTCGTCGAGCTTCAGCTCCCATCCCTTAAGACAATAGTGTATGACAGCATGATAAATTACATATCATTGGCTGATTTAAGAGATGTTATTAAGGGATGGAGCTCTCATTTGGCTAAATTCTTGGATGCGATCAATTATTGGACTCGTTCTGGAAACAAGAAGCCAAAGAAGCTCAATATTACAGTTATTAGAGACGAGACCGCGCCACAACAAACGAGCGGAGCCAGAGGAGATTGTGGTCCTCTCGTATGCTTGGCGTTGGAGCGTTTGACGACGGGAAGCATCAAGTATCTACCTCCCACCGATAGAGATAAAGCTGCAGTAGGCTTGTGGTTTCGGCATTATATGGCTAAATCGATATATACGAGACGCTGCCTACCTGCATCCGCGTTATAAAAATGTCCATAAACAATTGGTAAGTTTATATACTTTTGGTTTGAAAATGTTTGGTTAAGTAACTAGAATTCAATAATTTGCTGTTTGTAGGTTTTAGATGTGTAGAAAGTGTTGTTTGAACAAATGTTTGGTTTCTGCAGGTTAATCTCAGAAGTGAACTGGTGAAAATGATGTCGAGCTGCAAAAGTTGATTCAATAGTTTAATTGATTGTTTTTTGATTGTTTAATTGATTTGTAAAAGTTGATTCAATAGTAGATGATCGGAAATAAGAATTATTGCTTATTTTTTGATTGTTTAATTGATTTGTAAAAGATGATTTGTAAAAGTTGATTTGTGTAATTGATGCGAACATAATTCTTATTTGTGCTTGTTTAATTGATTGAAATGTAATGGTTGATTTTGTTGATTTCAATCTGCATTATGTTGAAGGCAAAAATGACTATCGCAATGCGAAATGAAAATCGCAATGCGAAATGAAAATCGCAACGAGAGAATCGCAATGCGAAATGAAAATCGCAATGCGGAAATGAAAATCGCAATGCGTTTATAATTTCGCATTGCGATTCTCTCGTTGCGATTTTCATTTCGCATTGCGATTCTTTCGTTGCGATTTTCATTTCGCATTGTGATTTTCATTTCGCATTGCGATTTTCATTTCGCATTGCGATTTTCATTTCGCATTGCGATTCTCTCATTGCGATTTTCATTTCGCATTGCGATTTTCATTTCGCATTGCGATTCTCTCGTTGCGATTTTCATTTCCGCATTGCGATTTTCATGTTGGGATTTTCATTTCGCGTTGCGATTGTAATTTCCGTGTTGCGATAGTCAAATGCATGCCTAATAGTGATAACAACTGAATAACAAGAGTTGGTTAAGTCAAAATGGTTGGCCTGAGTCATTAATTCAACTGAAAATGTTAAAAGTTCACACATAAAATCCACATAATACAACGTTTGCATTTAAAAATCACCTAAGTTAACAGTCTCAAAAGGTGAAGCCAATTGTGATTGGGATTTTAAAGATGATTGCCTTTTGCTTGACACCATATGAGCTTTGGATTTTGATGAGGATCCATATTTTGGTAGAGGAAAAGATGATTTTGATGGCACTGGTGATCCACATGTCAACCTTGTATGACCACTTTCCTTGCACCGACTACATGTCGATCTCTTCTTCTCTTCACCCTTAGACGGTATACGATCGTGACTTTTGGTCGGCCAGGTAGCCTTCTGTCCATGGCTGGTGGCAAAACTGTTTGTAAGTCATCTGGTATGTCCCACTCAGAAGGATGTGGAATAGGGTAGACAATCTCGGCATAAGTCTGTCGATAAACTTCTGTAGTGTAGCAATCCATAGCGTATGCGCTTGAATCATCTTGGTTTAAATGAAGAGCAACTTTTATAACATGGCCACACGGATAACCAGATGTTTGCCATTTCATACAACTACACGTCTTTGCATTTAGATCGACTAGCCCATTTAAGTTATTATCCAGTACTTGAAACAAAGTGTTTGAACATGGTTCAACTCTCCATGACGTTGACTTCACAACACGTTTCGTTATCTTTTTTTCAGTCCATGGTGTAACACGATGTTCCAATGTTCCTGTAAATTTAAATAAACAATACTTAGTAAAATATATAAATATGATAAGTTACGAATTCAAAGAAATAATACCTGCATGGTTTCTTTTCTTGTAGTACCACTGTTGAATAGAGGCTCGAAAAAACTCCATTAACATAGTAATGGGTAATTTCCGGGAATGACGACTTAGAGCGTTGATTGATTCTGCACTATTAGACGTCATGAAACCATATCTTGCTCCAAGTTGATGTACTCTTGACCATCTTTCAAACCCGACATCTTCTAGTGTTTGAGCACACTGAGGCAAAACACGTCTTAAACAATTTATATGCTTATTGAAATCCACTTCCCGATAAGCTTTTACAGCCTTCCAGTATGTCCATTTGTGCTTTTTTATACCAGCAGACCTTGATTTTAGATTTCTATACAAATGAACACCACAAAGTCCATGAAAAGCATCTGGGAAACACCTTCTAACAGCGTTGTCAATTGAGTTTGCCCTATCGGATATGATTGTCAGATTGCTAATAGGACCTATGCAATCCCTAAGATGCCCCATAAACCATGTCCATGAATCAGAGGTTTCAGATTTGCCAACCCCGTAAGCTATTGGCAATATCCCATTGTTAGCATCCATGGCTACTGCTAATAAGTTTACTCCAAGGTATCGACCTTTCAAATGTGCTCCGTCAACTATAATAACTGGGCGCATGCAAGTAATAAACGAACGAATCTACAAAATAATATACACAAGAAATATAATCATTTAAATGTGAAATGCATGTAACTAACAAAAATGAGTCAACAAAATTATATTGATTTACTAACCGTAGCACCAATGGCGATAAACAGCAACTCAAAGCGTCCATCTCTATCTGTTTTGATATGAGTTACCGACCCAGGATTTTTCAGCTTTAAATTGTGACAATAAGCCGGCAGTTGGGCAAACGATGCTTCTGGCGACCCCCTCAACAATTCCAAGGCATAACATTTGGCTCTTCAAGCTTGAGAATATGATATACTAATCTTGAACCGAGCATTCATGTCAGTCATAATTTCATGTCCCCGATATACCCTGCCATTCAAAAACATTAACTCAGCCAGAAAACCACCCAACACCTTTTTGTTTGCCTGTCTATGGTGAGGAAAAACTTGGGTTCTTGAACATGTATGTTTATCAATAAAAGTCCTAACTTGAAACATTTTGCAATCTTTTATTCTCTTTGCAATCATACGCCACGTACAGTTTTTGTCAATCATACACCTTGTTTCGAAACGATCTTTGCTTGATTTGTTAACTTTTAGTTGATAGCCATCTTCCACACATTTCGTATATAAAGCTATCTTCAAGTCTTCCTTTGTATCAAAACAATCATCTTTCTTGATACGAATAACTTTTGTGTAACAATCAACTGCTTTCTTTATCAACTCTTCTTCCGGTATCTGAAGTAATTCTGGCATATTCCAGTTATACGCCCGTGGCATTTTCTTTTCTTCGGGGACTTTTTCTTCTTCTTTTTCTTCTTCAGGATTATATGAATTACAGAATGGATGTTCAACATGTTCATTCACAGTCGTAACTTCCTCCTCATTATCATCAACATTACATTCTTCGGCAACGGCTGTTTCATCATCAAAATTCGGGTATTGACCAATATCAATATCATTACACGCATGGTCTGTTTCTTCTTCTGAAACATCATCAAAATCCGTGTATTGACCAATATCAAAGTCCGGATATTGACCAAGACCAAATTTCGAATACTGACTAGTACTCACAATTTTTTCTGTTGGCTCATCATCGTCTAACTGGTCAATACGAAAACCGGAATTTGGTGCTGAAAGTTGATTGGGATTTGGATTAGAGAAAGGTTGTGGGTTTTGAGAAAAACTTAGTTGATTACTACCCGCTACTGACCCAACAATACTACTTCTAGGTTCAACAACATACAATGTAACATCATCTTGTGAAACCCTAATGTAAGCAATGAATCGTTCAACATCTTCATTGTCGGTTAACAAATAAACTTTACCATTTCTCTGATAAGATAGCCTAAATCCACTTAGGGGCTCTAAATTCAATTTATTTGAAACACGTAGCATTAGAGTTTCATAAGTTAACTTTTGTAAAGACAATTTTAGTTGAAGATTCATGGGTAAAGGCATATATTGTAAAACACCATGAACATTATCCCATGACCCTCCAAAACACAAATCTATCCAAACATGATCAACATTAGATGATTTCATGGTTGTAAATTAATTTACTAAACAGACGAGCTGCGAAACTAAAACCTGTTGCCGGATTGGGAAGGATGTCGTTGGATATAGGAACGGATGTCGCCGGAGAGAGTGATAGATGGAGATGGAATGAGTTGCGATTTAGGGATTTAGTTTATGATTTCAGTGTTATATACCCAAAATTTCAGTGTTGTGATTTACAGATTCTCGTTGCGATTTACGGATTATCGTTGCGATTTACAGATTCTCGTTGCGATTTACGGATTATCGTTGCGATTTACGGATACGCGTTGCGATATACGGAAACGCGTTGCGATTTACGGATACACGTTGTGATTTACGGATACGCATTGCGATTTATGTGTTCGCGTTGCGATTTTCATATTCGCGTTGCGATTTTGGAAAATCGCAATGCGAATTTGACTATCGCATTGCGATTTTCAAGAATCGCGTTGCAATTTTGGACACTGATTTGCGATTCTGGGGATCGCGTTGCGATTTTGTTGGTCATTTTGGCAAATCCAAAAAAAGTTGGTTAAAATCGTATATTATAACTTTTTTTTGGTCACTGAGGCGATTTTCTCAAAAGGAAAAACCAAGCTTACCTAGAATCCGAGCTTCCCTATTTTTGTATGTAGGCGGGTATAACTTTAAGAACAAGAAGTGAAGCATTTGACAGATGCCTGGAAAATGAGAATATGGGTTTCTACAAACCGGACAACGAGACTCGCATCGAGAATTCATTGATCTATGAACGCACCAGAAACATGATATATGACCACAATCTGTATATTTTGAAGGAGAAAAAAAACTGAATCAATCAATAATAAGAATTAAACATTAAAAAGAAAAGGAAATTCACAGGTCTTTCAATAAAACTAGCAAAGAAAAATCTTACGCAGAACTATTGGCTTGTAAAGAAGATCCCTGCAAATGAAAAAGAAAAACAGTTTGGGTATTTTCCAAAAAAAATGAAATGAAAAGGAAAAGGTCGGAGCTTGCAAGAAACATGGAATGAATTGAAGATGATGATAATTACTTACAAACAAACGCAACAAATGAAATCGTCTGAGATTTGGTCAGTATCGGGAGAGAGGTGTTCCATGGGACAGGTTTGGAAGGAATCCATTGAACTCTCTTCCAGTCCTTAATTTGGTGGGCTGTTAAAACACCAAACTCAACTTTGCATCCCATCACCTTTTTATTTTTATGGCAGTTCTGCGATGCGGCGTCTAAAAAATTGTGTGATCGGTTAAATAAGTGATCGGTTAAAATTTAGACCGGTTATGTTATATTATTTAATCGGGATATATATATAATAATAGATAGCTACCTATTTTATAAGTAAACCGGTATATTTATACCGATAACATTGTAAATTTACCTATTACAATATAATATGTTGAAAGTGTCCATACTTTTTATAAAAATGATCGATACTTTTTTTAAAGTTATGTAATTTATGTTTTAATTTTTTTAATATTGTTTCATGTTTTCCACCTACAATATTAATTTAATAATTTCATTTACACAAAAAATTATTTAATTGTTTTGATATTTTATAAAATATTATTTAGAATTTAAATTTAACAATATTAATCAAAGATAATAATAAATATGTAATATATATGTTTATTGTTTTTAATTTAATAATAATATATATCGTAACGTAAAAAATAAATCATTAGACGCCTATAATTACTAAATTAATATCTTAAAACTCACTCAAAAGATAACCTTAAATTAATGTTTTTCACAGTGAAAAAAGTATGGACACTTTTATAAAAAGGATAGATACTTTACAATATAAGCACACCTATTACATTATATAAACGCTACCTATTACATTATATAAGCGCTACCTATTACATCATATTTTTACCTATTATATTGAAAGTGTCCATACTTTTTATAAAAAGGATCGATACTTCTTTTAAAGTTATGTAATTTATATTTCAATTTTTTTTAATAGTGTTTCATGTTTTCCACCTACAATATTAATTTAATAATTTCATTTACACAAAAAATTATTTGATTGTTTTGATATTTTATAAAATATTATTTAGAATTTTTAATTTAATAATAATATATATTGTAACGTAAAAAATAAATCATTAGACGCCTATAATTACTAAATTAATATCTTAAAACTCACTCAAAAGATAACCTTAAATTAATGTTTTCCACAGTGAAAAAAGTATAGACACTTTTAAAAAAAGGATATATACTTTATAATATAACCACTACCTATTACATTATATAAACGATACCTATTACATTATATAAGCGCTACCTATTACAACATATTTTTACCTATTATATTGAAAGTGTCTATACTTTTTATAAAAAGGATCGATACTTCTTTTAAAGTTATGTAATTTATGTTTCAATTTTTTTTAATAGTGTTTCATGTTTTCCACCTACAATATTAATTTAATAATTTCATTTGCACAAAAAATTATTTGATTGTTTTGATATTTTATAAAATATTATTTAGAATTTAAATTTAACAATAATATATATCGTAACGTAAAAAATAAATCATTAGACGCCTATAATTACTAAATTAATATCTTAAAACTCACTCAAAAGATAACCTTAAATTAATGTTTTCCACAGTGAAAAAGTATAGACACTTTTATAAAAAGGATAGATACTTTACAATATAACCAATACCTATTACATTATATAAACGATACCTATTACATTATATAAGCGCTACCTATTACATCATATTTTTACCTATTATATTGAAAGTGTCCATACTTTTTATAAAAAGGATCGATACTTTTTTTAAAAGTTATGTAATTTATGTTTCAATTTTTTTAACAGTGTTTCATGTTTTCCACCTACAATATTAATTTAATAATTTCATTTACACAAAAAATTATTTGATTGTTTTGATATTTTATAAAATAATATTTAGAATTTAAATTTAACAACATTAACCAAAGATAATAATAAATATGTAATATATATGTTTATTGTTTTTAATTTAATAATAATATATACCGTAACGTAAAAAATAAATCATTAGACGCCTATAATTACTAAATTAATATCTTAAAACTCACTCAAAAGATGTATATACCTAAATATGTAGTTATTGTACATACCTAAATATGTAGTTATTGTACATACCTAAATTTAATGATAATATATACTTGTAGTTATTGTACATACCTAAATATGTACTGTGAATTTAATGTTGTACCCACCATTTAACTACCACTACCAATGCCACATCCTATTGAAAGCAGCACGACTGAAACATGTTCAAAATGAACTTTTGCTTACATCTCCATCAACTCCTGGAGCACTGAACTTGCACAACAAAATTTTTGCCATGGATAATACTGATGTAGACAATGTTAAGCCAACCGAGGAATGCCATGAAGTACATAATGTTGATGAATCTGACAGATTGGTTGGTCAGCTCTTCTGTTCACATGATCAAGCTTGGTACTTTTACAAGGGATTCGCACGGGAACATGGGTTTAGTGCACGTAAGGGAACAACACGGCTTGACGTGGAAGGGAATGTGAAGACACAAGAATTTTGTTGTTTCAAAGAAGGGTTTCGAGTATCAAAAGTCAATATTGTTGATCGTCAACGTGCTCATACGCCAGTCACAAGAACAGGATGTAAGGCTAGAGTCGTAGTTACAGCAACAAATACAAACGATCAGTGGGTTATAAGTAAGTCTGATCAGAAACATAATCATGCATTGTGCACACCTGCTATGACACCATTTATGCGTTCTAATAGAGCTGTAAGTAAGGCTGATATCGATGAGGCAACAACATTGAAAGAGGTCGGTGTTGGTACGTCACAAGTAATGAACTATTTAACGCAGCAGGCAGGGGGCTATCATAATGTTGGATTTACACATAAAGACCTCTACAATGCACTTCAAAGAGGTAAAGCAAAGGAAATCGTCGATGGGGATGTGAATGCGCTTATTGCCTACTTTGATTATAAGAAACATGATGATTCCGGGTTTTTTATGACATACTCGGTAGACGAATCGGGGGCATTGTATAATCTTATTTGGTCGGATTCTACATCGAGATCGGATTACACATGCTTCGGTGATGTAATTGCGTTCGACACAACGTACAAAGATAATTTGTATGGTCGACCAATTATGCCTATTGTTGGTGTCAATCATCACCATAACACAATTGTGTTTGCCACTGCCATAATCGCTGACGAGACGTCTCAATCTTTCGAGTGGGTGCTACAGAATATTTTAGAAGCCATGATGAATAAATCACCTATTTCCGTTGTAACCGATGGGGATAGGGCAATGCAGAGGGCTATCAAATCTGTTATCCCTTATGCTAAGCACAGATTATGTTCTTGGCATCTTTCTCGCAATGCACAAGCTAACATTGGTGACCCAAAGTTTACAGCAGCATTCTCAAAATGCTTGGCTTCCTGGTGGACAACCAAGGAATTTGATATTCAATGGCGTTCGGTTGTTTCAGAATTCAACGTCCAAAAGCATCCATGGGTGATTGAGAAGGGAAATACACGACACTTATGGGCACAAGCATATCTAACCGGTCATTTCTTTGCCAATATTCGCTCAACACAAAGGTGCGAGTCTATTAATGCTTCACTAGCTATTGCACTAAAACACAAGAAGACATATTTAGATGTTGTTCGTGCAATTGAAGATGGAATTAGTAGAATGCGTATGAACGAGTTGAAAGCGGATTACTTAAGTTCCCATACGAAGCCCTTCCAGATCACAAAATTGGTCGACCTTGAAAGCCATGCCGCTGCGATTTTTACCCGCGAATCTTTTCGTGTGTTCCAAGATGAACTTATACGGGAGACATTGTACCGGATTGAGGCAGAGATTAAGTCCTTATCAGATGAATGTCAACATTATATTTTGTCAAAGTACGCAGAAAAAAATAGGAAATTTGAAATTAGTTTTGATTCTCGTACGAAAACTCTAATTTGCTCCTGCAAAAAATTCAAGACCGTTGGACTTCCGTGTCGCCATCAACTTCACATTTTGAAGCAATTGGACTACACATATTTGCCCGGGACTTTGATTCAAAGTAGGTGGACTAATGATGCGAAGGCTTCTGCACCCAGCTATGTTGATTTGAATGTGTCTCCAAAAGTGATGCAAATGGCAAGGTTCGCTGCTCTACGTTCAACGTCAAGTAGGTTATGCTACATTGCATCAAAGACAGACGAGTCTTTCAAAACCGTAAGAGATGAGATGAAAAAACTAATAGAAGAATTAAAAACCTCGTTTGGTTTGAATCATTCAGTCAACCAGAGCATTGTAGTAAACAATGTTCGTGACCCTCAACGAAAACAACGCAAGCGAAAAGAAGTGCCGAAGAACAAGGTCGAGAAGAAAATTAGGCGATGTGGGTACTGCAACGGTGAGGGACATAACAAACTAACATGTCCTCAAGTCAAGCTCAGTTTGAGTACAAGCACACAGCCTACATCAACTGATTTTTTCGAAGACGGAATGGAATGACAACGATCTCCATATATCGTAAGTATCAACATGACTCCTATTGTATGTTCATATAAATATTTTGAATGAAGGAAGAAAAACCGCGTTACTTAAAATTACCGACACTTTTTTAAATGATATCGACACATTTTTCTTCCAATCTGGACATAAAGTACCGACACAATATTAGAAAGTGTCGATATAGGTTGTAGACCTATTCGCTCATAAAACCGGTATATTTATACCGGTTATATTACAAAATTATCTATTACATTATAAATCTGGGTTCCGATGTGTAAATGTCGACACTTTTTTAAATGGTATCGACACATTTTTCTTTCAATCTGGACATAAAGTACCGACACAATATTAGAAAGTGTCGATATAGGTTGTAGACCTATTCGCTCATAAAACCGGTATATTTATACCGGTTATATTACAAAATTATCTATTACATTATAATTATGGGTTCCGATGTGTAAATGTCGACACTTTTTGACAATGTATCGACACATTATTCTTCCAATCTGGACATAAAGTACCGGCATAATATTAAAAAGTGTCGATATAAGTTGTAGACCTATTCGCGTATAAAACCGGTATATTTATACCGATAGCATTGCAAATTTACCTATTTTATTATAATATGTTGAAA